GCAAGAACATAAGAGCTCCGGTACGTGTAAACTACGGTGTAAACTCAGTGGGCACAAAATGGCGGCCTCGCTGGTTGCCGTTCTCCTGTGGTCGTCTCTCACGACGGCCTCAGCAGATGAGCACGAGAGAAGCTTCCTTTTTCCCTCTGCCGCAGAGGGCATGGCCGCGTCGTTGGATCAGGCGCCGTCCTCCTCTTCATCATCTCCGTTTGTCGTGGAGGGGGCTGTGCGTCCATGGGGCGATGGGCTGTTCGAGTACATGCATCCCCGGCCAGGGGCGCTGCACGTGTCGGAGCTGACGTCGATTGCAGTCCGGTGATGCGCAGCAAAGATGAGACGCTCGTTTCAGTGTGCGTGTATGTCCCGTCAGGGAGGGCGATTTGGTCATCCCCACTGATCTCGACGCACTCTTTGATGTGGAGGGCCGGCAGAGCGGCAAGGTGGATGGCCGCGTCGTCCTTGCACGCGACAACAAGACGGTGCTCTTCTATCCTGACAAGCCATTTGTCCCCGGCGACAACGTCACAGTCCAGCTGCGGCCCGGCCTCCGAGTGCGGCGCTCTGACAACGGCAGAGAGGAGGAGGCGGGCGGACATAAATGGCAATTTCACATCAGAGCCAAGACCGAGTCGATTGGCGAAAGGGATATTTGGCCGCACTCGTGTTATCGGTTGCACGATGGAAAGCAGGAGGCTGAGAAGCAGCCGGCGCCGATGGACCGATACCGCACGCTGCCGACGTGGTCAGCCAAGTGGAGGCCGTCAGCCGAGGGGGAAAAGGCGGCCTTGGAGGGGAGGGGGGAAGACATTGGCACGGGGGACAAGGAGCTGTATTTCTTTGTCATCCACCTTTTGGCTGGACAAAGTTTTATCGCTACACGTCAGGTACGTCATGTGTCCATCTGCTCTGATTGGTGACGCCAATGTATCTTGCTGTGTGTGCATGTATGTAGGGTGACTTGGTCTGGTGGACTAAAGAGGTGGGACGGGGGGGCGACATGCTCGGGGTAACGCCAAGCGGCCATCTGGTCCATTGGGACATACAGCCCAACGACACGGCCGAGACTGTATACGAGCTGAACTCGACTTATCAGGTGGTCGACAGGCACCAGACCGGTATGCAGACGATGTCCTGCGCGGGACGGGGCCAGACGACTGTGTCTGCAGGTCATGGATATCAGACGCTAGACCGTCACAGCATCTCCTTTGACGGCGACAACGCGATCTTGGTGGCCCGCACCGAGACCAACGGCACAGTACACAACGGTCAGCAAGGCGCAGAGCTGCTTGTCTCATCTTTTCAAGCATTTTTGTTCTCTTGCACGTTTCGTGCAGTGGTGCACGTCTTCGACGCTGACAAGTGGGCAGATCGGATGGCGATTGTATCATGGATGCACCGGTAAGTGTTGCAGGAATGTGTTACTGGAGTGGAGGACCATTGACGACTTCGTTGGAGAGGCCGACCCCACACTCCCGGAAGCACCAAAAGATGTGAGCACGCACTCTTGTGTCACTCAGCATACGTGTCTCCCTGTGTCGCTCTTTGCGTTTGTGCGCCAGGCCTATCACACAAACAACGCCGAGCGGACGCCGGACGGTGAGCCGCGCTCCACAGGGCAAACATCTGGAGAGGATGGCTTGTTACTGCAGGGAACGTAATCGTCTCCATGCGCAACTGTGATCTCGTCCTGTTGCTGAGCGGCAAGACGGGCCAGATCCTGTGGCGCATGGGAGGCCACACGAAGTACGTCAATGCAGCTACTTGTGTCCTTGTGCGGCGCCTGTTTGCGTGTGCCATGCAGTGACTTTACTTTCATCGGCGAAGACATGGATCCCCCATTCGTTGGCCAACACCATGCACATCAGCTAGCGGACGGCAACATCCTCATGTCAGCGACATCGAATAGCTCGAGGGAATGACAGCTTTCAGACATCCACCGCGTGTACTTGTGTGCTGTTTAGGTATGACAACGGTCGTCAAAGGCATACCGGCGGGACACGGCCTTCCAGGGCTCTCGAGCTGAGTCTTGACCTGAACAAGATGACGGCCACGAAAGTCTGGTCCTTTACGCATCCGAACAAGTGAGGAATCCACGCGCAGAATAGGTCATGCGTCTCTTCGTGTTTGTACAGAATCAGCAGCACGTGCTGCGGAGGGGTCCAGAAGGTCGACAACGGAGAGTAAGCGAGTAGACACGGTCATCAGTGCGTACAATGCACATTCCGTCTTTGTGTCAGGGGCAATCCCCCGACCATGCTGATATCCTGGGGCTACACTGGTCCATTCTTCCCTGAGGTGACTTACGGCGACAATCCGACGATAGTTCGCGAGTTCGAAGGCTTTCGAGGCCATCGTCCACTGCTGCACAGCTGGGAGGGCTTCTCGACGGAGAGGCCGCGGCTTCTCCTTTGCAGCGACGCCAACACGCAGGCGAGTGGCGGCCAGCCGTCGATCGCCCTTCTGCAGGACTGGACCATGCGCTTCTCATTCAATGGCGTCACAGGTAGGCACGCAGAGACATTACACGCAGGCAGTGATCGATGGCCTTTTGTGTAGGGATCAGCAAGTGGCGGCTGTACATCGGCGCTGACAGTGATGTGCCGCTCAGCCGGCACCTGATGGAGCGCAGCAAGACCGCCTTCGAGGAGATCGTCACACTGCAGGAGCTGGTCGACACCATGGCGGCCCGGGACGTGACTCTGACGACAGACAGCAACGCCAACGTGACCGACGTGGCCTTGTATGTGCGGGTGGTGCCCGTCAAGGGCGACAGTGAGCTTCTCAGGCCATCCAAGGCACTCAAGGGTATGACGGCCACACGAAATGCAACACGGACCATGTTGTGTGTCTCTGTGTGTGTCTGTTGCGTGCAATCAGTGCCGCTGGTTGTGTCGTCTCGCGACGAGGAGAGTGGTGCTGTGAGTGTGTCCCCTCCCCTCTCTGCAGTGCCCTGCCGCTGCTACCAGCCCGACATCGGCCTGAGGGAGCACCTGGCCAGACCAAAGCCGGAGCGGGAGAGCCCCGTCGTCGACATGGTGGCCGTCAGTGAGTGCTCCAGGGCATGTGCCGACAGCGACAAGTGCGAGACATTCTTTTTCTTCGAAGACACCGGCCAGTGTGAAATGGACGAGAAGAAGCGTGAAATGGGCGAGAGCTTCGTCGAGAAGAAGCATGAGAGCCATCAAGAGCTGCACTCGCTTGGAGGGGTCGTCTCTGGGCTGTCAGCGTGCGTACAAGAAGAACTGGCCTGACATCTTGAAAAAGGCCGGCATTGGGTCAGGACCTTTTGTTTTCGACATTGTATGGCATTTGACGTGTGTGGGCCTCGGATTTCAGAACTGCTGAGGGAAGAAACTTGATTCAGCGACTGAGCTGCCCTAGTGTTGCCAGCTGACTTGGGGAGGGGCACAGAGGGAGGAAGACAATGACGGGTGCTGTTGGTCCCCTTTGCATCGTGACGGCAAAGTCATGCCTGTCTGTCTGTCTGTCTTTCTGTCTGCATGGGAAGCGTTGTTTTTCGCCCTCCTTGTGTGCCGACACTTTGGGTCTGCAAGGCGGGAGTAGAGGAGAGGGAGAGAGAATGAGGTGTCTTCGAAAGCATGCCATGCCATGCCATTCCATGTGATGACGCGACACGCCAATGCTGGACGTGACGCACACGTTTCGATGAGTGCCACGCGTGTCTCCCTCCCTCTCGTCTCCGCTTTATGGCCCTCCGCTTCTGTGTGAGATGAAGTGTGTATGTTTGTTCTCCCTCGTGCCTCGTGTGGGAATTGGAAGACTTGTCCGTCTGCTCGTGAGACATTTGCGGGACCGCATCAAGTTGATAATTAATTGAAGAGGGTCAACCGCTGGCGGCTGCCGACTGACGTCTCTTTGTCTTCACAGTCAAATAAAGCCTGTCGTGCGCTGCTTGGTTCGGCCCATGATCACTGTCAACATCTTATCACTCGTGGCACACATCGACGTGCCATCCACCACAAAGCCACCTCAGACGTGCCTCCCCTTGCCCTTCTGAGTGGCTTTTCGCCCTTGCTTATGATCTGCATTAACTCAGACAACCAATAATGGCTGCTGTGAAGTCAGACTGAGAATCACCCAACCTCACGAGACACACACACATCAATGCTGCGCGAGACTTGATATGATATGATATGATATGCCGTGCGTGTGCTGATCAGCTGCCCCTGGTCAAGTGCGAGGGTGGTGAATTGTGTGGTGGTGTGTGGGTTGATGGACGGGAGGGTGAGAGGAGGATAGTTGCACTGACGCATCCGCCCAGATCGCTTGTGGGGCTATGACCCTGGTTGTTGACAGATAGGTGGCATACGTCGGTCAATTGGATGTGGTACCTGCGTTGGTGTGTCCGGGAAAGTGTACACGAGCTCTGAGACAATCGATGGGTGAGACGCAGACACACACAGATTGTGGTGCAGACAATCACCCACATTGTCTATTCAAGCACCCAAAAACCATCACATTACAAAGACTCGCAATTCCTCCACACAGACGCCACCAGGCCAGCCTCTTGTCACCGCGTCTGTTTACGTTTGAGACTTTCTATTTAGGGAAGAGGTTGAGTGTGTTGATGTTTTTGTAGCGAAATGCATTTGTTGAAGCGTTGCGCCTCTGCCATAGAGAGGGAGGAGCCCCGCGGCGGGGCTTCATCCTCGTCGGAGGAGCCCAGGGGCGGGGATTCATCCTCGTCCGTAGCAGCAGCGGCCTCCTCGGACTCGCAAGCCACCGCACCTCCTCCTCAGGAGTCCGACCGTGTGACCAAACGCCGTAGGAGTCTACCCAGCGCCACCACGCACCAGCCCTCCACCGAGCACAAACATGTGTGGGCAGTGGAGCGCTTCCACGTCATCAGGCAAATCGCATCGACCGGTCAGATGGATGGATGGATGGACTGCTGCAGAGATGGCTGCATTGGGCGGATGGATGAACGAATGGATGATTTGTTTTGATGTGTTTATTGTTGGGTTTTTCGATGCTTTCTGCTGCCTTGCAGTGAGGGGCAAGGAGATGGTTCGCCACTACTTCAGTCCGGTGAAGAAGGTAGAGTTCCCTGGGCAGGAGTCGGCTACCAAGGTGTGTGGGGTGTGAGGGGTGGAGGGAAGGACGGATGCGCGTCTGCGTTGAATGGATGGATGTCTGGATGCCTGGTACGCTTTGTGGATTGCTTGCAGCAGTGGTACCTGGAGCTGTGGCCCTTCGGCAAGGGCGAGGAGAACAAGGGCGCCGTGTCCCTGTTTCTGGGCACCGAGAACACCACGCCACTCGTCTGCCATTACAAGTTCTCATTGCTGGACCAGAACAGACAGGAGGGTGAGTGAGAAGAGGGGGCAGCGATGGTGGGAGGGGGGGAGGGAGAAAACGTGGGAATGGGCGGTCTGTGTGTTGCATGTGTATGTGTTGTCAGTTCACAATCGGGAGCCCGAGGGCATGCGGTCCTTCACGCAGGACCGGGACTGGGGATTCGACGAGTTCATCACACGTACGGGAGCGGTGAATGGATGGATGGATGGATGGACGGATGGGTGGAGGGGGTGGGGTGGGGTGGCAGGATCGTTCTTGGCTTTCATGCGTCTGCATGTATTGTCTGCAGAGGCCGAGTTGGAGGAGTTGTCGCCCGTGCTGGATGCCAACAGCGACAGGCTGACGATACTGTGCGAGATGGAGATCTTCTGGCAGACCACCGAGACCTTCCCCAACGCACCCCCGAGCAGCGCCAGCAACCTAGTCACGGTAGGAACAAACACAGAGGGCAGGGGAAAGGCAAAGAGAGGAAGCTGATGGCGCTCCGTGCATTCCAACCTCTCTGATGTGTTTGTGTGTGTGTGTGTGTGTGTGTGTGTGCAGAAGCTGGGTGCGATTGGTCACGACAACAAGTACAGCGACGTGATCATCGAGTGTGGCGGCATCGAGTTCAAAGCCAACAAACTCATCCTCATGGCACAGAGCAAGGCAAGAGGGCAAAGCGCCGCCACCCACCCACCCACGACACATGTCTGGATGCGTGTGATGCATGTTTGTCTGTATAGGTGTTCGAGCGCATGTTGGACGGTGAGTATAGCGAGGCTCGCGAGAGCCGTGTTCAGGTCCGCGACGTGGACAAGTACTCAATGCGGCAGCTGCTGCAGTACTTCTACTCGGACAAGTAAGTCCTCTCGCGACATGCACACAAACAGCCCCCGAAAATGGCTGGCCTCATACGCACATTCTCCTCCCCTCCCCTCTGCCTGTCTGTCTGTCTGTCTGTCTGTCGGCCAGGTGCGACCTGCTGGACCCCCAGCTGGGGGGCGACCAGGTTCCCGCCCTAATGAAACTCTACTATGCCGCACAGAAATACCAAATCGATGTGAGAAAGAAAGAAAGATAGAGCGCTCTGGCAGCCCCGATGCTCCCCTAACGGACAGAGAAAGGGACATCATGGACGGATGTTTGCATGTTTGCCGCGTGAATGCAGAAGTTGGTAGTGGAGATTGACGACTTGTTGAGTGAGCTGTTCAAGCCCGAGTGCATCTTCGCCATACTCATCCAGGCCGACACATACCACAACCACGCACTCAAACAGCAGTGTAACTTTGGAAACAGCACATGGAGGGGGAAGAAACCCGCGCAGGCAGCGACGCATCCCCCCATCCGTGTGCTTACTTACCCATTTAGGCCTGGATTATATCGTGGAGCATTCATACGAGGTCGCGGGAGCGAGGGAGGGAGGGAGGGAGTGACCTGTGAGTGTGGGTGTGTCTCGACCTATGTATGGGTGTGTGTGTGGTGTTGCAGGTTGCGGTTCACCCGACGTTCAATGAGGTGCTGTACGTTCAGGGAGCGCATCTCGTGCAGGAGGTCTGATACATACATAAAGAAAGAGACAGACAGCAGGGGGATAGCGCACAGAATGATGAAGGGATATGTAAAGCCCCCTCTCTCTTTGTTGGTGGTCTTGTCTGTCTCATCAGGTAGTGCAGGCCATCTCGGCCGCCCGTGCCCGCGTTCCCAAGCGCTTCCACGACATACACATGAGTACGCACGACACCCAACCAGTCAGTACACGCAGCCATCTTTCGTTGTGTCTCTGTTGTTCCAGTGGCCCGTCCGTTGTCGCCTCCCCGCCAGTCCGCGCCCCCCGTGCTGCCCAATGCATCCAACCTACAGCGCACATCAGGCACGGAACAGGTGTCCGGCGCAGCAGCCGCAGCGGCGGCTGGTGGTGGCGGCGGTGCTGGTGGGGACATGGACGCGATGATGGGGGACTTCGACGCCGGTGAGGCATTCCAGACACCCATGGGGAGCGTGCAGGTCCGTGGTGGCCAGGGGCAGCCGGCTGCTGCTGCTGCTGCTGCTGCCGCTGCCGGTGCGTCGCGGCAGGGGAATGATAATGGCAGGGGGTGAGAGGGAGATGGCCACCACGGGTGAAGGGAGACGGAGGGGTAGATAGTGGTGGAGGTGGATTGCATGATGGATTGATGAGTGCGTTCATGGCGTGACATGGACTGGTATGGCGTGGCCTGGCTGATGATTGAATGGAATGCCCTGGTAGCATCTTCGCCTCTGCCCGACTGATAGATGGACCAGAAGAGAGGCGTTTCGGTGTCTGCAATGTGGTCTGGCTGGCTCAGGGCTCATGGTTGGGTGGACGGGTGCACGTGTGCACGAAAGCGGTAATGTTTTCTTTTAAATCAAGCAGCGGAACAAGAATATGAGCATCACGGATGGACCGGTCCGTTCATCCAATCCATTTCTACCCACTCACTATGTACAGAGCTACAGACAGACCAAGGAAGGCGGATGGCATGGCGCCCCTACCCTATCTAGCTATCCCTCACTCACTCTCCGATGCCCTTGGTGTAGAATAGGCTGTGCCAGTAGTCGTCATCCTTCACCTTGCGCAGAAACAACGTCACGCGGCTCTCCTTCACCTGCGAGCAATGGGGACACACACATGACATGCGCAGAGAAAGAGATGACACCATTCCCCTTTCATGCTTGGCTCACCACGTGTTTGCTGGCGGCTGCATCGATCTTGCACTGAAGCTTGGGCACACGAAACCTGCACACACAATACAACAAACACGACACACGCCATGAGAGTCCGTCCGGTGTGGTAGTGGGTCGGTCACTCACCCACCTGTAGTTCTTGCCGTTGAAGTCGAGTATGAACAGCTGGCAGGAACGCTCCTCAAACTCAGAGATGATCTTGTCGCGGGGGTGCTTGCCGATCCCATCCAACGGCACCTTCACCCTACACAAACACACAAAGAGAAGAACATTCAGGTGAGTGACCAGCCCACCCAGCAAACAAAGCGGCCCGCTCAGCTCACCTGACAGTGTCTGACGCGTCTTCCCATGTGAATGTGGAAATGGTCGTGTAGTGGAGGGATCCCAGGTCAGGCTTCTGCTCCAGCTGCTGGGGTGGTGGGGCAGACACAGACACAGAGGCCGCCGTCTTGGACACGATGCTGCGCGACGCAGGTGCCCCGTGGGCATAGTAATACGACAGCTGAGCAACAGGAGAGTGGGGCAGTTTGCACGTGGTATTTCGCGCAATGTAGGTCTGCATGTGTACCCCACCTACCTCTCCCTTTTTCTTGATGTTGTCCTGGATGGCCGTGTCCTGGGCAGCTGCGAACTCAGCCACGGGGCGGATGAAGATGTCCGCCATGGGGTCAACCCACGTGCAGATAAATCCCGCATCGGGCATGGGCGCGTGTTGGTGGTTGGTCAGACACCAATCTTCATACTTGAGTGGGGCAGGTGGGGCAGACACCGACGCATCACTCGGCTGCGACAGCACCTGCCGAGAACAGACAGACACAAGCACTCATCACCATGTCCGTCTGCGTGTCTGTCTGTCTGTGCTGTCTGTCTGCGTGTCTTGCGGAGGCTTGTGGACCTTGTCATTGAAGTGTGTGATGAATGCCTGCTTCAGAGTGCCCAGCTTGAGGTCATCTGACTGGCAGTCGAAGATGGCCGTCGAGTGCCACGGGGCGTGGCCCTGCTCTTCGTAGTGCACGTGCACTTTCCCAACAGCCATCAAGCGAAAGGGAACAAAAAGCGCAGAGCGCAGAAACAAAAAGCGCAGATCTGCTGCGAGGTTAGAAGAAGGAGGGGGGGAAAAGGGGAGATGAAGATCTTGCCGTCTTCGCGAAGCCCTCTGCGTTTGTCGACTCGCCTGTCGTCGACGCTTGCTTCCCGCACAGAGCCGCCATTCCCGATCACACCACCGCCGAGGAAGATCATTCTCCCTGGCAGCAGTGCCTTCCAGCACAGGGGCGACAGTCAGCGGCTCATTCGGCCATTTGATCGGTCTGGAGGCCTGCGCCGTCCATTCAGCACCGCTGGCGATTCGGCGCAGGCAGCAAGAGCAGTAGAGGACGACGGCCTTGATGTGGATGAGCAGACAGAGCCGAAGGTTTGGTGGGAAGAGGTGAATGAGCAGACAGAGCCGAAGGTTTGGTGGGAAGAGGTGAGTCGTAAGAAAGCATCTGCATTCATCTTGCAGCTCGCTGCATTCATCTTCTTTGTGTTCCATCCATCGTGTCCCTCCCTGTCTGTCGTGTGAATGAATGTCAGACGGAAGCGGAGGGCATTCGGCTCATATTGTCTGAGGAAGACATCGAGGAGTTTCGTAGGGACCACGAGAGGCTGGTGGCTGACCCTCGATGGCAGATCACCGAGGCAGAGGTGGAGGCGTGCATCAAGAGGAGGGGACTCAAGCTGGACACCATCGGCAGAAAGATCGGGTTCTCCATCTACAGGTGGGTCAGCAGACAGCGCAAGCAGACCGTTTGTGACACATTGATGTGCTTTGTCCGTGTGCGAAAAGGTGTATGCTGTTCCCCGGGAGTTTTTCGTTCACCTTCCACTGGCTGGTGGCGATGATGGACCAAATTGCCAGGGCCGAGCTGAGAGATCGTATGCACCACAGATGTGTGAGGGGATGGATAGAAAGAGAAGATGTCGATGTGTTTGGTTGCAATGCTTGTGCAGGTTTCAACATCGTCAGTTGGGGCGACAGCTTTGCCATGAATATATACTGGTACATGATCCATGCGTACGCTCTCAACAGGAGACTCAAAGTCGAGGTAAGTCGGGCGGAGTGCGTATGATTTGCGTGTTCGTGCGTTCATGTGTGTCCCTCTCCCCATCAGTGTGAGGACTCTCTCCACCTGAGGTTTTGGGAGGACGTGTGGAAGTTTTGCAAGTACAAGCTCCTCAACGAAAGCGTACGCACATAGAGAGAGGAAGGGAAAGACATGCGAATCGGTCGGCACTCACGTTTGGACGCCCAGGCCCGCGAGTTGCTGTTCAACCAAGCCACCCAAGAGATGAAGAACTATGTACTTGGGGTCCGCGAAGGCAGAAGCACACGTCACGGTCGTGTCCCGCTCGCTGGGATGCCTTTGACCTTTCTCATTGCATGCAGATGTGTGTGGCCCTTGACGGTTGCTGGGACGAGAACGACCGTGTCTTTGGGCAAATGAGATACGTCTTGTGGATGTAGGAAACACACACAGACACACAAAGCAAATCGCGAATTGACTGTAAGCTCGCATTGTGTGTGCATGGTTTTGCTCATCCAGGAACCTGTATAGCGGTCAGATAGACCGTCGATCGGAAGTGCTGCACGAGGTCACTGTGTACCTGATGAGACTGGTAAAGATCAGATCACGCCCAAACAATGGATGGGTCAAGTGGGTGTGTTCGTCTGTCTGTGCCTTTTTCAGATGCAGTTTGTCCGACTGATGGAGAAAGACACGTTCTACCGGGGCATATTCGCACTGTAAGAGAACCACACGAGAAGGCAAGGCAATGAATGGCACGACTGAGTTGCGGATTTCGACACTCTGTCGTCAGTCCCGACATGCCTGACCTCCCGCCGCCCACGAGCAACACGCGAAGCGAACGTGTCATTTGAGAAGGCGACAATTTATGACCGTCTAGTTCTTGAGACGCCGCTGCTTGCATTGACCACATGTACGATTGAATGTGAAATAATGAGGAAAATGTTAGAAAAAAAGCAGGAAGGGAAAGTGGCCGCTTTTACTCCAGTCACACACGCCCGATCCAAACCACACCGTCTGTGTTGCATGTTAGGGTGCATGTTTTCATGTCGGTTGGTTGGTTATTGTGTTTAACGAGACATGTTGCCTAGGGTCCTCCCTGAAACCGCTGCTGCGGGGCAAACCACAAACGTGAGGGGAAATGGAGGCGTTGGTGGTCAAGTGCATCGCCGCCCTCGTTCTTCTCCTACTCGCGTTGGGCGGCGGCCTCCTCCCTCTCGCAGTGAGCGAGATCAGCCCTGCATTCGTGTCGCTCTCCAATGTGCTGGCAGGTTAAGCAATCAACTCGCAGAGGCAGCGCCAAACGCGGCCTGCATGGCATGCTCTGCTGTGTCCTTTTCTGATGTGTCTGCGCACATGCAGCGGGAGTGCTCCTCGCGACGGGCTGTGTTCATCTGTTGGCCGATAGGTGAGTGTCTGAGTTGATAGAAAACACCGCTCATGCGTGCTTTCTCCCCTCGGCAGCCAAGAACTGTTGGAGCCCGCTGCCAGCACGATGGGCGAATACTTGGGTAGGCCAGTCACGACGAATGATGCACATTCATCATGTGCATGGCATGCAAAGTGTTGGTTGCTGTCATTCAGGCATGCACGAGCCCTTCCCGCTAGCAAATTTTCTCATGTGCGCGGGCTTCCTTATGCTACTGCTGGTCGAGCAAACAGCTGACCTCGTGCAGAGGCACAAATCCCTCAAAGGTGACTGATTTCAAGTCATATGACTGAGACGGCACGTGTACCACTACCACTCTTCTGTCTACAGATACGCCCTCATCCTCTGACCCTGTTGTACCTCCCCCCGACCCTATCCTACTCCCTGCCCTTGTTGACCCCTATCTGCTAAAGAGGCTGTCAGCACCCACACTCGTACATCTGCGTTCAGCCGCATCCAAAATGACCAGAGGCGATGTGTATGAGGTCATTGAGGAGAAGCCACGGCCCCTGCCGCCGTCTGTCGCCGGCCAGAGCTCCGGCAGTGCGACGGTCCCCAGCCCACAGTACATCTGTGGGACACCAGGCTGCATCGTTTGCGTCCAAGGAGCTGATGTTCTGCTGAATGTTGGCTCGGGGAAAGGCGGGGCCGCTGCTTTCATTATGTTTGTTGCCTTGGCCTTTCACTCGGCAATGGAGGGTATCGGGCTCGCGGTTCGAAGCCGGGGAGGGCTGGCTGACATGCTGGTTGGACTGCTCATCCACAAGGGACTGGAGGCGTTCGCATTAGGGTCGGCCATGCTGCAGGTATGCAAGGCCATGCAAACAAGAAGAGGTGGTTCCGCTGTGCCCTTGACTCTCTCACTGTCTCCTCGTGTCCTTCAGAGTGGCGTGTCCGTCCGTCGTTTAGTCGTTCTAATATCTTTGTTTGCGTTGATGACACCTATGGCCATGTTGGTGGGCGGGATCGTGATGTGCGCAACGACAGCTGCCCTCACGGCAGAAGGTAAAATGCGACGAAAGAGGGCAAGCTCATGGACGGGTGTGTCACTTTTCTTCTCACAGGTGTGCTGACTGCCGTGTCAGCGGGCAGCTTCCTGTACATAGGCGTGTGGGATCTATTAGTCCACGAGCTGAACGCCCCCATCTCTTCCTCCCTGTCATCGCTCTCTCTCAAAGCCAAGAAGCTCCTGGTGCTGCTGATCGGCTTCGCATCTGTGTGCGCACTGATGTCTATATCTGACCATGACCATCAGCACCCACTGCCTTGCAAGGCGTCCTCTCTCCCACCCATCTCACATCAGCATCCCGGTGGAGACGAGAATTCGTCCGCCCTCCGCGCAAGGCAGCATGATGGCAACCAGCAAGCTGCAGAAGCACTTGCATATCCTTTCCCACTCGAGGGAAGCAGTGGTTGGCAGGGAGGGCCGCCGAGGGTGAGAAGGAAGAGGGGCGGTTATTGAAAGGTTGATGGTTGGGTGGAAAGGTTGATGAGCAATTGGAAAGTGACTTGACACGTATCGATCTTGCTGACGATTATATACTCTGCTTTCACGTGAGCCGCCACTTATAACAAAGGCCGAGAAGAAACAAACAGGGAGTCACCAATTACGCCTTAGCTATAGATGGATCTTACATTTCTCCCATGGCGTGTCTCACGTCTTCGTGCCTCCCATAGAGAGCGTGATTGTTGCACTTTATTTTGAAGCATCACGAGGGACAAGACCAGCGCCGGAATAAAAAGAGTGAAGACTGGGGGGCCCCACGGGGAGCAAAACAAAAAGAGGGGGGTCGTGCACCGCGCTCAGCTTGCCGGGGCCTTACTTTTTGGGACGCGTTCTGTTTTGAGGGAAACCGCAGCTACCGAAATTCTTTTGAAGATGGCGTGCTGGAAGGCCGTAGAAGGCTGCAATACTATGGTCACGGTAAGCACGACCGCAAAAGTCTCCGCCTCAGTCATTTTCCAGGTCATTTTCTCGGGGCATTGCGGGGCGACCCTCTGCAGATGATGGCCAAGTACCGGGTGAAGGATGGAAAGATGGAGGCCGTCAAGAAGATAGTCAACGATGTGTTCGTCAAGAATGTAAGGGAAAACCTTTGCTGCGGTTGGGGCTGTCCATGGCATGCATGTCTTTCTGCCAGGCGAAGGACGGTCTCGAAATCAGCGGGGTCCTTTACTACTACTGGTCGACAGCCGGCACACAGGCGGACGCCTATGTCTGCGCCCAAGAGGCCTATGACAGGTGAGAAATGCCCCCTCTTTTGACGCCGCCACTTTGCCTTGATTGATTGAATGTATTGGCTAACTGCAGTGCTGCGTCTCTGAAGAAGCACCTCCAGCAGGGTGGTGCTGTGAAGGAGGGACGTGACAAATTCCAGAAACTCGTGAATCTGGAGTCCTGTGTGATTTCGGGCCCGCAGGAAGAGGTGAGATAATCTTAAGCCAGTTATTGTTCATGTTGGTGGTCATTGTTTGTCAGCTCGACAAGCTGAAGGACGAAGCAGCTGAGTACAACGCTATCACGCGCATCATCTTTGCCCACATCTGAATACGAGAACAAGCCGGAACCGACGATCGATCGACATAGAGCGGACAAGCGGGCGGGAACGGATGACAGTGTGACAGACTTGCCTGCATGTGGCTTTTTCTCTGCTATTCTGAGACGCGCTTCATTTTGCATCCATCTGACTTGAGGACAGCAAACTGATATTTTCGGTCAACCATCGAAATAGCTGTCCATCCATTGAGGCAGTGACGTGTCTCTACAGCATACGCATAGCTATGCCACGAGTAACTGCCATGAGACATCACCCCAACATTGTTGATCGGCGTAGCTATGCCGCAATCATCGAGTTTTTTATCGGCGCGTCACGCCGGTCATCGTAAATGTTTCAGCTTGTCTCAGAGTTAGTCAGTCTCTGGGCTGGCTGGTTCGGGTGCGCGTAACTTTCGGATTCGTAGTTTTCGGAGCCCATACGATGTGCGCCGAGAATATAGGATCTACACGCAGGCGAGACATGACCATGAGTAGCTCAATGCTGGGCGGTACATGCAAAGCTGTTTCCCTCTCTTGTGTGTGTGTGTGTGTGTGTGTGTGCGGTGGCGAAGAGAGCACAGTGCTACCCGTCGGCGAGAATCAAAAGTCTAAGTGTGTCTCTCTACAGGAGGACAATGCCCTTTAAACTAATGAACGCACACACACGCAAGGGCTCAGTCGAATGTCCTAGCCAGCCGAAGCACAGGGGCACAAGAGCACAAGAGCACACTCGACACAAGAACAAAATGGAGTACAGCCGTCACAGACGGCAGATTGTGAAAATCAACGGTCATGCCAGAAGCCAAGCACATTGTCCCGCAAGAGCTGGACTCTATGCCATATCAGTACATCGGCTACATGTATGTAGAACTGTCGATTGCCAAATACGAATCTGTCCGCTCGCACGATCACTGACAAATGCACTGCTGTACAGCGTTGTAGAAGCCGTGCATTCCCGTGTGCAGGGGCACGCCCTCGCTCCTCTCGCACCCCGGCCGTCGTCTGCTCGTCATTTTAAGCGCCTTAAGCTGGCCCTGCGTGTGCCCCGTGGGCTCCTGAAGGTCTCCCAAGCGCTTCAAAAGAGTAATATGAGACTGACGAATGCTCTCTTTCGTCAAGCAATGCCTGCATCAACGACACACACATGTGCACAATACGTGGGTTTGATCTGTCCGTCCGCAGTCTACCATCCAATCTTGTGCAGCGCTGCTGCAGCCATCACAGCACACAACCACAAAGCACAGCACCGAGCGCCATCTTGCTATTTGTGTGTTAACATTTCCTTCCCCTCGTTCATTCAGACAAGCAGCTCTCTACACAGCTTCCTTTCCCACCTGCTAGTCTCCTCGCGACATCGTCATGTCTTCTGAACCACTCCGTCCCACCCGTCCCAACGAATCTCCGCCGAGAGGCACCTTTGCACGCCTGCAGACGGGAAACACAGGACAGAGCAGAGAGTGCAATCTGCTTGTGAAGAACAAGCGTTTCACTAGGTAAGGTCAACGAACCAGAAACAGGGGCAGTCCCCCGTATGAATAGTGAAGGCTGTGTCGCCCAAGCTGACATTAGTGCTGGCCGCATATCCCACAGCATCCGCCAGCATCTCCGCCATACGCCGCGCTTCCTCCGATACAATCCGCTCAGGATCCTTCGTCCTCCGTCGGCATCGTCTGGTGGAATGGCAGAAGAGGGTGCCATTGGACACGCTGAGGCGGAGGGGGAAGTACTCGTAAGGTTCGTGGGGCGGCAACTGCACCCCGTTGTCGGCAAGATGCAACATGTCCTGTTTTGCCCACGGCTTGTGCTTCTCGAGTGCGGTAATTGTCGGGTTGTGGTCAGAGGTTTCCTCTCAGTATTTGGCGCACTGGTTGGTAAGCAGTCCGTCATCTGTGTCGTCATTCAGACGGCTCAAGAAGACCTCCAATGTCGCCAAGTCGATGGGGGCCTTGTCATCGATAATCGTGCCGTTGACGGGTCCTTCGCTTACCGATGCTCCTTTCGTGCACCCATGTGTCAGCTGCTGATACCTGTGCGGAGGATGGAAGGTCAGGAAAGGGGGAGCTGCGGGGCCTTTCTCCACAGATAAGAACTCTCTAATGGTGAAACAGCGAAGGTGGCAATCGAATTTTGTTCCGTTTACATAGGATTCGTACAGTGTACAAAACGTCGAATGTTGGTCGTGGCCCGCGGCTGCCAGTCCTCGGATGGCACAAAGGATGGGAAGTTTCAGCCCAAAAAGGCGGCAAGGACCACCGTCGGGCTCTGCAGAGGCGTCATTGCAGGGGAAAAAACGCACGTCTTTCCGCAAGTGGATGTTCGTGTGGACTGTCGCTGCTGCGTTTGTCTGCGGTTTTCGGAGCCTCCTTGCCGTCGGATGGGGCTCATCCGGCCTTCAACTCGCCTCCCTCTCCCTCTTCCACTCGGTGCATGAGGCCACTCGGGGGTCGGTTATGTGCGACGACCTGGACGGCTTCCTCTCGGCCTTCAAGGAGAGGCATCTGGTGCCGCTGGAGAAGACCACCCTCGGGCAGCCCAACGCATCGTCGACAGAGCAGTTCTACTGCGTCAAGCCGTCGAGTGAGCGATTTGCCTTAGAGGGGTGTGGGGAGTGCCGCGGGCCGCCGAGCGTCGCGTTGCTGTTCCTTGCGAAAGACAAGGTGCCGTTCGGTCAGCTGTGGGCGGACTGGCTTGGCCTGGCCAGCGACAGGCGCAAGTTCACTGTCTATTTGCACCGGCACGACAACGCCACTGCGGCCCTTCATCCCCTGTTCAATGCCTCGCTCATCGAGCCCGTCGACACGAGCTACGGCAGCTTCATCCTGGGTGAGAACGCCCTGTGGCGGGCCGCCCTTCGCGACCCGTGCAACCAGATGATGGTGCTCCTGAGTGTCACTCACGTCCCCGTGTCACACCCGGATGTCGTCTACGACGTGCTCTTCGAGACGAGAAGCGA